ACATGTGTCTTTTATTTCCTTTTTAAAGTTGAATAATATTCCATTGTATGCATATATCACATTTTGTTGATCCATTCATCTTTTGATGGATATTTAAGCTATTTCTTCCTTTCTATTATTAAAAATAATGTTGCTATGAACATTTTTATAAAAGATACAAAAGTATCTGTTTGAATCCCTGCTTTTAATTCTTCAGTTATATACCTGAAGTGGAATTTCTGAATCATATAGTGATTCAATGTTTAATTTTTTGAGGGATCACCAAACTGTTTTCCACAGTGGCTGCATAATTTTACATTCTGACCAGCACTACATGAGGGTTCTGACATATTTTTAACAAAAGCAATAGATTGGAGGCAACCTTAACACAATCAATAGGCAACTGATTAAATGAGTTATGGTACATCATCAAATGAATACTATACACCATAAAAACAGAACAAGGACACCTTGGAAGAATAAGAAAAGAAGATTCCATATATTGAGTGCCAAGCAAATGCAGAACAGTGGGTACAGTAGGCTACCACTTATGTAAAAGAGAAGAAATATGTTTGTGTACGTAAATTTGCTGGGAAATATATAAAATATCACTGTCAGGATAGTTTAGGCTAATTAAGAAATTAATCATATTTGTTGCTTCCTAAAAGAGGAATTAAGTAGGAGAGGGGCCCAAGGGAGACAAAGAGTTATTCTTTTTGAAGCACTATGATCTATTTAACTATTAACTAAATAAAACAGATCATATTTTCCTAGCAAAATATGTGTGGCCTTTCTTCACGCTGAAGGTGCACTTCCTACCCTGAGAAGGGTGGAGATGGTCTTCACTCGCAGTGCCACAGGCATCTCTCAGATAAGCGCCCTCTCTTTTGCTCAATATCATTTGCCCATATCTTCTCTCATTCTTCCTATTTTCTGAAATAAGCATTGGGGCCCAGAATTTAGTGTGTTCCCTCCTAGCCCTTCCTTTTTACCTCCCCACAGGGCAGGGTTGACTTCATGATTGTTTTGCGAAAGCCAGAAACCTGTGCCAAGCCTCTGGCAACCCTTTTCTCCAAAACAGCAGAAATAAGAGGTGAAAATGTCAACCAAACACACTGAAAATAAAGTTCTCTCCTAATATGGTAAAATTGCAGCATTAAAATAAAAGGAAATATAAAAGTGAATCCATGATGACAGCTTTGAAATGCCTTACTTGCTGTTTCTGTGACCCTGTCTCTTTAGCACTCTAGGTTGGAAAATGATAATAATGTCTTTTATCTTTGAATAAACACAAAAAGACATAGTGCTCATCATTATAGGAAAGACCATAATAATGGCAGAAAGAACAAGAAATCAAATGCTTGTCTTTCTATTATCTAACTAAATCAACTAGATCAACAAATATGTATATTGTATTATATATGAAATGATTATTTCCCAGAGTTCTATTTAGGTTAACGTAGTGGATTGCCAACTTAATGTTCCTTGTTGACTATAGGGCCTGAATTAGTTATATATGCTTTGAGCCATTTGCCTTTTTGCATCTTTCTTGAAAACCCACAGTTGATAATCACAAGATTCCAGCTGAGGTAAAATATTGTCAGTATTTTAAAGCACCACTTGGCTGAAAACATTGCTTGGAGTACACACACATACACACACACACACACATGCACACACTGATGAGTCATAAACTGTAGTCTGTTATTTTGAGACTTCTCTGCCCACTATAGTATAATACTGACACACATCTGGCCCATCTTCAAAATGGTGACTCGATGGAATAGTTTTCATGCTGGTCTCCAAAGTCGGATGGTACTAAAGAACTAGTACAACCCTTCCAGCTCCCTACTTCCAGAGTTCACATGGAAAGAATGAAAAGAAAGAAATACTGAAATAGAAGCCAATGTGGAAAACACATGATTTCATAATCTTGAGGTTTTAAATTATTTGTCCAATGAATTTAATCAAAGTGGAAATATTAATGCAGTTATTTGAAAACCCATAGATTTAAAAAATTTAATGTGACAGCTTAAAGTTTTCATGAAAAGGGCAGGTGCTGACAACCAAAGGAAAAATGTAATGGAACATTTTTTGGAACAAAAAAAAATGTGCAATAAAGATTTTAAGTGATGCTTGATAACAAAAAGTTTTCAGTTAACATATTCAGCTGGTGTTTAGCCAAAATTTGCCCTACATACTTTCATAGGAAAAGTGATACTAGAATCAACAGAAAATAATACACACATTGCTGCTCAATATTACTATACTATTCAACTGAAAAATTTGTGTTGTGAGGGCTTTTATTCACACCTAATAAAATAATTTTAGTCATACAGTATCAAAAAACAAATGTCAGAAAATGTGATTCTCTTATTCTATATATCATAATTTTAAGTCTGAATTGCTCTTGGATAATCAAACCTTGCTTTTAAGTGTATATATAATTTAAATCATAATTTTAAAATTCACCATAAGGTGAAATGTTAATGAAGGTGAACATGAACTATAATTAACTTGTTTTTCTTATAGCCATTCAGTTAAATACTTGATATTTTATTTGCATCAATTAAAATATTCCTTTTATAATGGGCCAATGAAAATAGAGTCA